AATGATGAAACTAGTATATAGAAATAGGGCACTTTAAATTGATGATTAAAGGATTACCGAGCAATTGCAATGATAATAATGTGACTCTTGTTAAGAATTGACCCGTGCTAAAAGATCTTGGATGATAAGTTGTTAGTAAGGTACAATAAGGAGGGCACACCTATGAGGAAATTTCATAGGAAAGAGACATCAGGGGCTGAATGGAGAGAGGATCTAAGCTATCCTGAATTAACTTAGTTGATATCTCTAGTATTATGAGTTATAGGAGAATGTTGAGGGGATGACTCCACTGAGAAGAGAACACTAAGCTAATACCTTCAGCAAAGGATGAATACAAGGGGTATGTGAATTTAATGTCCAAGGAGGCAAATTAGTTTAAAAGATGATATTTTGTTATTAACTTCTAATATGTTCAGTTCTTAGTAAAGAGGCTAAGGAAGATATTAAACCTTCAACTAAAGACAAAGTGTCCAAACTAATTTGGTCAAGGTATGATAAAATAGTTTAAAGAAAATAAAGTGGTCCAAGTTAATCTCGTCTTGACTAAGATTGGTTGAAGCTGACCGTAGTGCGTGTCAACTAAACTTGCCAAATGATTGGAATAAAATTAAGGTCAACAAGCTTCTCTTTGATAGACTTTCTTCCATCCTATATCTCATGACTAAGCATTTTTTTTTAGGATTGTAGTCTTAAAAATCTCAATCTATCAATTGCTTTTTAAAATTTTATTTCCTATTATACTAAAAACCTGACACAATCTGCTACATCCATCAAGCATTTCTCTTCTTTTTCTCATCATTTTTTTTCTTATATTTCTTTACTATTTATTTTTCTAATACGTGTAAATAAGAATTGCTAGATTCTCTCTAGAAACCGGCAATTGATATTAAAATGGGGGCTTTCATTAATTGTCATAGCTTGGATCTAGTTATCCTTCTGCTGGCGAAAATCCTATTTCAAATCGGTTGTTATTATGTTTTATTGAGATAGTACTATTGACCACTACAAAGCTTGATTAATTGCGAAGGGGAATAGACAAGTTAATTATGAACTATTTTGAGAGCTTATTCCCAATGGCCTTGTTAGGGATTTCCTCTTGTTAGGGATTGCTTCTAAGCAATTTATATGAAACAATTTTGTCAGGTATATTGCTGAAGGAGAGAATAAATATGTAAGATGTCAAAGCCATATATGGATTAAAAAAAATGACTTTCAAGCATGATTTAACAAGTTTTGCAATGTAATTGTTATTGTTGGTCTTCAAAGTAATATAATGGAGCACTCTATCTTCATTCGTGGTTCATCTTCTGAGACTTGTTTTTTACAGTATATTTGTTGACATTTTTCTTATTAAAAATGATTTTTTTGCCAATGAAACTATACACATATCTTGATTACATTTATTACTACAATTATGCATTCCCTAAATTATTTTATCAAAATCAAATTTACCTACAACAAATATGATGTCACTCTTTCTTAAATAAAGATAACATATACTTTTTCAGACAAAACTTGGCTTGGGTGCAAATCTAGTATTACTTCTGGATACTTACAAACTTATAAGAAAAGCTACCATTAATCTTTGTTATTATCATTTGATTGGTGAGCTAATCTACTAAATGATCTCCTGACATAATATTTCATTTGTTGTTATTGGGGTCAGTCGACATATACATAATCAAAACAAGAGGCTCAAGGATTCTATCTTAAGGATTTTAAGAAATAATAGATGGTAGCCAAACTGATGTTGACTTTTCTTAATTTATTGAAGATTGCAAGTCTAACTAAGAGTATTGTGGTAACTTATGTTAAACAAAATCATGTTTCATGGAGAAGTAAGAAAAAATTAGGATTTTCGTGCTAGATCTTGTGCCGAAGCCAAAGATTGGGTGATGATCCGTTTAACATGTTAACTGATGTAGATAAAAAATATTGTTGCGTTTGACTTGCTTGTTACTTGTCCATGAGTCCAAGGCATGATAATAGACAAACTATCCAGATTGCTAGCTGCAACCCTATCTTCTTAAAAACAAAACCAAAAAAAAATCATTGTATATTATTACTTTACTAGGAATACACTTCTGTCAAAAATGATTAGACCATCATTTAATAAAAACAATTCTGTCAAAAATGATTCTTGAGCCTTGTGTCTATAGCAAAGCATAGTTGGCATATATTCTTACAGAGACTACTAGATCACTTTGATTCTCCATTTTTTTCAGCAAGTTATCGAGTTAGATCATCATGGTGCATATATATATATATATATATATATATATATATAGAGCAAGAGCAGAGTTTATATATAAATAAAAAAGATACATAAAGGTTGCATGAGAGGACCCAATAGAGGCAGTCTACCCATACAATATCAAATATAGTAATACCCCAACAATAAGATACAGATAAACTCAAAAAATTTAAAACATCCAGAAAACAAGTAGCTAGGGACGAGTCAGTTTAGTCATGTCTCGTACTCTAGTTTTCAGAGCGAAGCCAAATAAAAAACTTTGAAGTGTCGTGTCATTGCTAAGAGTAACCAAAGTATCATCCATTAAGTTTCCAAGTTGGAATGTGTCTCCAGCCCTTTTTTTTCCGCCGAGAAGTGTAAACCTGTCATTCTCATCTGAAGATTGGCTCATGTGATTCTCAGTCTGAATAGATATTAGAACCGCAGTAGAAGGAAAGACAGTCATTTTCACAGCAGTAGTTTCAGTGTATGTGAAGTGTGAATTGCCACCTCTGCACCTGATACTTCTTGAATAGGAGCTGCGGGGCTATCTTGATTTTCGGTCTGAACATTATCCCCTATAATATGGTCAGGAGAAGGGTTTCCAGGGGCAGACACCAACTCTTGTCTTGTGGTGATTCCCTCCTCAGGTTGGCTGTCATCAGGTTTGTTGGGAGTGTGTTCAGTCACGTGGGGTGCACTATGCACTAACAACATGTCCTGCTTTTGACTATTGGTTTTCAACTATGGGTGCAATCTGAAACATTTCTTTTGCGGGTGTTCAAACATCTTACAGTGCTTGCAGTATTAAGGTTTTTGCTCTATAATGATTTTTTGTCGATAACTATTGTGAGCAAAGCCAAACTAGGCTTCTTCAGCATCTGGTAGTGTAATATCTCTTTCAATCAAAATCCTTGCAAGAGAGGTCCTTGAGAAATGAACAGTATGTATGTCTACCTGCAAAGGTTTTCCAAGGATAGTCTCAATTGTAGTCTCAAGTCTCAATTGCATATAAGATAAGTAGGTCAAAGAATTGAAGCTTGAGTTCAGGTAATGAAACCAGATAGACGCAATTGGAGATTCTTGACTGGATAAAAATTAGGGGTCCATTTGAATAATTTCATATGATTGCCCTTGCCCTCGATTGTGATGAATTTCTTTGAGAAAATCCTTGTGTAATATTCTTCTATTCTCAGTTATATCATAACATGTCTTCCGTCAAAAAGACTCACCTGTCAAGTCCCAATTAGTTTGAAATCTTCAAAAACCTTCCTGATAATCTTCATCTTAGGGCGACCAAATTGGAACTTTCCAAGGAGTGTAAATTTGTATTTTCCTGCACGAGTAGAAATTTCAACGTCAGAGAAGAATATTGCTGGTTTGCCCGTCTTTTTTACTACTTTTTTTATGAGATTGCAATCTCCATGTCCTGCAACAGAATCATGGTACATCTGCGGGAATATCGAACCATCTGCGAGGTGGAAAGGGATTTGGCGAGGTTATCACCGACGAGGGCGGCGGCGTAGGAAAGCCCTGAGGCCATTAGCTTGCTTCACACAAGCACTGCAAGAGTAATAGTTGGCGCAGCTTGCTGACTGCTGCAGACGAACTGGACGCGAGCAGTCGAGCAAGCTCGAGCAAAACTGGCGGAACAATCGAGCGGCTTTGACGACGAGCGATCTCCTCTGTAGACGATGCAACATACAAGCAAGTTCGAAGCAGACCGCAAGCTCCTCCACCAGCCAGAGGACAAAAGGATCAATACGAGCGAGAAAAAACATACGTCAGGATTCACCATGAGCGGAAACCTTAGCAGAGCGAAAACGAAGACCCATCACTTTATATATA